TCCGTAGGCTGCGGACTCAACGCGAGTTGCTTCGTCTCTTCATCGATTTGGATCTCTGAGTGAGACGAGTTGGACGTTCGTTGATTCGTAATGGGCGCGACCCACCATGAGCTCTTGTTTGATGGCCGCTGAATCATCTGCAGGTCGATCTGGAAGATCCGGTAACTTCGCGACCTCATTCAACCTGCCGCCCAAATCTCCTCAGCATGTTCGACTATCCATCACTCACGGATCCGCTAGATCAGTGACCATCCCCAAGGTGACACTTTGAACAGGACTCGTCTCGCTGTATATGGGGCCCCTGTCTACTTTAATGGGGTTCCTATGGAATCGGTTTCGTTGTTGGTCCGTCAGTTCTCCTTTCACTCACTTCGACCACACTTCCTTGATAGCATCATCGTTCACTCCAGAGGAGAACTCCCCATATCTCGTGTCCAGTTTCGCCCCAGGCCTTCTGATGACGGTCTCATCAGGCCACGCTCGACCAGTCATTATCGGCTTATTGCCGTCCCACTGTAGAGACACAAGACAATAGAATGCTGGGAGTGCCGAGATTCGTTCTCACCATGGGTTCCATATCCATTTGAGGTGGGGGAGCCTCAGGCTCTTCACTGTTCGTATACACTTTGTGCTCCGGAGGACCCCCGTCGAGGTCCACAGGAGCCACGGATCGCCTGAGAAACGAGTTCCCCTACACCCTGTTTCTGCTTCCCACATGTCTACCTAGATACGGCCACTATGAGGAGACATACTGGAGGTAACAGAGGGAATAACATGTATATCAGTAATGGCTACATAAACAACGTTGAAGTTCCAAAACAAAAACTCAAATCTCACACGTGTTTTCAGTCAACTTGGCATGCATCATGGTTATGTATTCAGCAGTGCAATGGGCTAAGCAACTCCGAATGTGGTGAACTCTTACTAGGTCAGCAGTAGGCCGAGCCTCCTCCGCTAACGCGGCGGCATCCAACCATGCATTTCGCATGGCTGTACCGACCAGCTCAGGCTGGGAGTTCCTGACGATTGTCTGTTTCCAGCCTCACCTCGAGTCGCCAGCCTTCTTCCGGCGCGATAAACTTCCTATTTGCATCAGGGGTCTTCTCAAACGCTTCCTTCCTTTTCTCTTCCGGTTTTATACATTCTAACGCCCAACTATTTCTCGACGCTATCAACGGCTTCGCTTCCGAATGTCCTGGACTGGATGAAGAGCAGCAAGAACGATGACTAGGCGGAAGACAATCCTATACGACACTGAGTACACGGGAAATAGACAGTT